TAGGTTTTTGGTTCTGCTCTTACTTGTTGGAATAGGCCCATAGTATTTTGGTCAATAGGCAAAAAGAATCTCTAGACTGAAAGAAGGACTGTTTTCCCTGCCTTAAGAACCAACACATATCTCTGGGATTGTTTCTTTGAGTATCTTGATACAAAACACAGGTTGTGTTTCAGTCATTGTTGCAAAATGGGAGGCTATATAAATCATATAAACAAACACCTGTGTATATCTAGAAGCTCATCCTTGTAACACTAGCCATGAAAATGCTCCAAGTTTCCCTATTCTGAAAGTGGGCAGAAAGACCTTGATTTATGTCATTGATGATTTGGGGATAAAACTTTACAGATAAGTTGTGAGTTTTTTATTTGGAGAATCTCATCTCTCCAAAACTCTTGGGCATGTTGTAACATTCACAGTAACTGCGAATGTCAAAAGAGAAAAATGACAAAAGGAGAACAGACAGTATATGTATAGTGCCTTTGTTGCAGAAAATAAAATAAAAATCTATTATTATTTTCTATCAAATATAGGTAAACTAGTGATTGTGGAATTTTCTTTCATAGTTTCTGTAAGAAGTGATGCAAGTGTGCTAATTAAGTTCATTACAAATACTTAAAAGGCATAACAGAAATGCTAAATTACTAAATGTATTGCATGTTACTATAATACAGAAGCAGAATATATTTGTCAGATCGAAACAATTGACAGAGAAATCAGAGCTTTGCTTTAGCTTCACATCAATAAATAACATTTGCTCATTTAGAATATTAATACAAAGACATGAATTTGGCTCTCACCGAAGTGACACTTGTGAAAAGTAGTCAGAAGTTGGATGAAGGAATAGACAGGTGGGGAAATTTATTGTTTACTGCCAAATTTTGTCCAGCCAGTTGCAACTATATATTGTCACATATTGCACTGTATTATGCTTCTTGTTGTTTGTTCTGTGCATCTCACTTATGGAATGTTTTGGGGGTTTTCTTTCTTTTTCAGAACAATTTTCCTAACCTTGTCTCCTTTAGATGTGTGGTGATTGCAATTCTCAAGAATTATGACTTTGGGCTTGCAACCCCAATACTTCTAGAAGGCACTGATTATGTGCCATCAAGTCAGTGTCTTAGAGGTCACATAGACATATGTTTTTCATAATGATCTGTCCTTAACCTGATCATTCTGGTTGTCTATCTGGTCACCCATCACAACTATAAGTAAGTCCTTCCATATTGCTGTTGTTTGTCCTCTCCTTCTTTTTCCTTCCAACTATCCCAGCATTAGAGCTTTCTCCAGAGAGCCAGGTCTTTGTATAATATGAGCCTGGTTATTTGTACCTTAAGTGAAACTTGGGGTTAATCTGTTTGATTGTTTTCTTGGCTCCCTAAAAGACACTACAATGGGGAAATGTTAAATGTTACAACTATTCTGAGTTTGATGTTCTTTACCCCAAATCCTTTAAAAAATTTTAAGAAACATCCCAATCTGTTGAAACCCACTCACAGAAAATTCCAGTAAGTGGCAGATTTTGTCCCATTATCTCAAGATACTTAATCTTAAAAGACTTATGGTCTTTTAACCATAAAAATGGCATAAATGTTTGTTAGAGTGGACAACGCAGCTACAATCTGAGCCAATTCAAGACAATGTCCTTGTATCTCCCATCTGCTATGCAGGGTTGCATCTGCTTCCTCCTTTCCAGACTTGTCAGTGCTTAAAGAATTATTTTAGCTTATTTTAAAGTTCAGGAAACTTGTTAGAGGATTTTCCCATGCTTTCAGTTCTAAAGCATAAACAAGCCACTTTCTCCATTCAAAAACATAGCTTGAGGCTATTCTGTCTTCTTGGCAGGATTCAGTATTTGGAACACAGAAGCAGAAAGTTCTTATCCAAGTGATTATTTGAGTTTAACCCAACTTAGCTGGGAATGAAGGATAAAAGTGCAAATAAAGTAAGAGTAAAAATAATGAAGTTGCTGGGGTGGGATATGAAAAATTGTCAAGAATATCCATGGTACTACTCATTAAAAAAACAAAATGTTGGTTTACTCTGAATATGTAGCCTTAGTTGCTTCAGCTGCAAGTCAGACATAGCTGATGGGCTGATCTCAAGTCCACCAAGGTAAATGGTATATCTTTGAGCATAGTGCATCCAAAGCCAAAGTGCATCCGTAGTGCATCCAAAGGCAATTTCTTCATCTCAGTTAGGGTTAGATAAGGCTAGGTAAGTTGAATCCATTTGATAAGACCCTGAAGATATTCAGTCTTCTCTCTCCTATCGGACAGTCATTTGGAGCAGCTTTTTGTCCATTTGCTCCTCTGTTTTGTTGGAAACCCCCAATGATGTCATTTTCTGGTAACAGAAACTAGCAAAGTGGCATCAGTCTATTAAATCAAATCTGATGGATTTTTACATTAATTACATCCCAGTTTGGATTTCTTATATCAACAGTCCCCAACCTTTCTGGCTTTATGGACCAGCAGTGGTGGCAGTGGTGATGTGGGGGGACTCCCCAAGGAGTTAACCATCTAAATCTGAATCTTAGTGCCCAGGCACTAAAATCAGCAGAAGGGGGCGACTTAAAAAGTCATTCCTCTCTAGTCTTATAGGCCTGCCCTATTTTCAGCTATTTTCAGGATGGGAAGGAATATGTACCTCCTTTCTCTTTCCTCCTCTCTTTCTTCCTCTCCAGTAATATCTGTAGATCCATAGTGTCTGTTATGTACAGATACTACATAACAGTATACAGTATATACCTTATACAGTATGTGTATAAGGTGTTGCATTTTTTTTTAAAAAAAAACTTATTTTCTTTTGCATATTTTAACAACATAATGGTAATTACAAATTATATAAGTTATACTGCACAGTATTGCTCTGTTTCGCTTCCTATTTCTGAGGCTGGTTCCAGTCAGCATCGAGAGGTCTGATTCCTAACACCCACTATGGGGCCACAGAGATTGGTACTTTCTCTGCTCCTCTTTAACATCTACATGGGGTGAAGTACTATCAGTATGCTGATGATACGCAGCTATACTGTACATCTCTGCCCCTGGTGAACTAACTGATGTTACTGATGTCCTCTCAGTGCTTGGAAGGTAGGGAGTTCTGAATAGAGGCTTCAACTGAACCCTGGCAAGACTGAATGGGTTTGAGTTTTGGAACTTTCTGTGTATTTGGTGTTGGATTGGATTGCAATGCTCCAAACAGATCCAGGGCACAATCTGGGGTGTCCTTCTGGACTCATGATTCCTGCTTGAAGAGCAGGTGACAGTCATGACCAGTAGGGCCTTTGTTCCAATTAATTTTGTTTGTCAGTTGCACCCTTTCCTTTCAGTCATTCATGCACTAGTCATCTCCCGGATGGATTACTGTAATGTGCTCTATTGTAGGTCTACCCTTGAAGCTCCAACTGGTACAAAATGTGGTTGCAGGGGCAGTTATGTGGGCTCCAAGAACTGTCGATGTTACAGCTCTGCTTCATGAGCCAAATCATCTGCTAGTTTGCTTCCAGGTCCAGTTCAAGGTTAGGACCTTTCAAGTCCTAAATTGCATGGTACCAGATTATTCCTGGGACTGTCTTTCCTCAATCCTGTCCCATTACATCTGGCAGAATGGGCAAGTTGCAGGTTCCATCAGCCAAGGATCTTCTGTTAATGGGATCCAGAAAGAGGGTCTTTTTTGCTGTGACCCCCCCCATCCTCTAGAACATCATTCCCCCAAGGTGAGGTTGGCACTAGCCCTAAGTGTGGCATCTGTTAAATGGCTACCTTTTGTATAGTTAGACTGCATACCTCTGTCTTTTTGTTACCATATTCTTTTAAATGTGGTGTTTAACTGTTTTTAATAAGTTTTAATGTTGGAAAGCTGTGATTGTTATGTTTTAATTGTGTACACTGCTGCCCAGAGTCAAATGTAAGTGAGATAAGCAGTCAAATAAATTTAATAAATAAATGAATGAATGAATGCAATAAAAGTTTTAAAATAAAGAAATAAGACAGGTATAAATATTAATCAAGAGCTACTAATGTGATTTTACAGCATTCAAACAGCCAATGAATTATATGGTCATCACTTACATTGAAACTTTTGTTCCTCTGCAGAGATGATGGGATTACTCATCTCACCTTTCGAAGCCAAGTTAGATAGTGAGAAGGTACATCTGGAGGATGTGGAAGGCTACCACAGATACCTACCCAGAATATTGATTGAATCCCTAATAAAACCAAGGTTTAGCAAGACAGCAAGGCTTCAGGCCTTTGAACTGAAGTGTTGTACATGGTCTTTCAGCTGGTTTCCAGACTAGCATCATCCATTTCAATCCATCACAGTTCTTTAATCAAGTGTTTGTGGCTATATTTGATGGCAGAGATTGGAGAAAAAAAGAGGAAAGGAATAGTATAAATCAATTGAGTTAGCACATAAATTGAATTTTGCAGTTAGGATGAGACAGGTGCTGAGCACAGAACTCCTGTAGCTTTACAAAGATTCATTGCCAGCAGTAGAGGACAGAATAACCATTCTTTCAAATGTGACTGCTCAACCAAGGCTATTAAGATTGACCAAGGTTTCAAGCCAGGGCTGGCTTACCCCCATGGGCATGGCACATAACAGTTCCTTTAGCCTGGAAGGCACACGTAATTCCAACTGAGATTTCTCCTTATCTGTCTTTTGATCTCTGGGGATAGCTTGGGACAAGTAGAAGCTGCAGTATTATTAATTCCCCATTAATTCCCCTTTCAGATTTTACATCTCTAGTAAATGCACAGATATGCTTGTCTGCAGAGCCAGCTGTACTGCAGACACTCACTTGCAGAGATGAATAAGCGAACTAAAATATTTTACTCAGTGTGAATCTTTGTAAGTAGCACAAATGTTGTATGTTTATTTATTTGCCTTTCTTGCTTTTTATTTTTATTTTTGACAGAAATTCAGAAGAGTGGCCATCTTGTAGGTCCCATGAATGTTCTACAGTAAAGTCCAGGGGCGTTTTCAAGACACTTGCCAACATGTTCATGGACAAGAACAGTACTCCTTTATCCAAGAAACCAAACAAGAAAAAAACCAGGCCACAGGGTTTGCCTTCTCCAGCTCTTTGCTGTGCCTGTGGGCTCTGCATCATGCTAGCAGGTATTAACATCACCCTGGTAGGAGCATTTGCTTTTGGGACCTTCCTGCCTGTCAATAACCCTCCCATTGTCATTGGTCCCATCCTTCTGGTGGTGGCTTTCACTTTCTTTGGAGCTTGTTGCATTTGCAGCCGAAGGCCACCTGCTCACACCACAAGAAAATTCAAGCCAGGAGCCAATATTGGACTCATCAAGCCTGGGAACACAGCCTTTGAAATCGAAACCAGTGAGCACACTGTGCAAGACACAACAGCTGTGCAGTTGAGCCCAACCAACTCTCCAATGTCTTCCAAAAAGTCCACTCCGATCCATGAGAATTCTAAAGCCTGTACACTTTTTACAATGGACAGCAATGGTCCAGTTGCAAAATATACAGCAGGGGGAGAATCGATACATCTGAATTTGCCCAGGGACGTTGCCATGTCATAAACCAAACTGGAGAATATTTATGAGCATGTGGGTAGGAGGCACTTCAACACAACCAGATGGTTAGATGAGTTTCCAACAAAGCAAGCATCTGGAATCCAATTTAGATTTGGCCAGCACATGCATTAGAATATATTGAGAAATTTAAGGGAAAGGCATAATAAGGTGGCAATTAGTAATCAATACACAGCTGTATTGTGCCAGACACTGGTGGGGAAAGTCTGAATTTTCAGCAGTGACATTAAAGTGAAAAATGGAATACATAAATCAATGGCATGCAGCTACTGAAAAATCACATATCCTGTGTATTTAATTCATTATATTAATGGGTTGGTGAATGATAATGTGATGATAAGGATTTGGTGGTGCAGAGCAGTGGAAAATTACAGATTCTTGGATGAATGATAGAAGGAAGAGTGGGTTGTACAGAATATTGATTACAAATGAAATAGAATTGATATTCTGATTTAAGTGGTCACTTTGCTTCTTTTGAGGCTATTTGATATACTACTTTAATGCTATCAAAATGAATTTTCCTTTTGATTTTATCACATTCTTATTGCATTTGGTAGATGAAAAAGGTTACTTAAATTAATGTACATCAGATAGCATACTTTTCTCCATTCTCTGCTTTTTGGAATCAGTTGTTACACATGTAGCCGGCAGCTGAGTCAGACACATTGGGTTGTATATGAACATCTGAAATATACTGTATCATGGAAAATAAAAATATATATGAGAAAATGTGAGAATAGAGAAAATGCACCATGTAACAGGGCACATGGTGTAAATCAGTATAAGATGACTAACATTTACTGTAGTTTGGAATCTATAGAATTGTCTTATCCTAAACTGGTCCTTTAAGATGTACACTATGGAGGCATGCAGAGATGTATATATTACATGCCATTTGAGAAGGGACCACAATGTCCATAATAGAAACTTGGCTATCTTTGTATCTTAGAAGATCTTTCTTATGGGGAAAATAGTAATCAGATCTTTTTCTTATGCAACAAATTGTCTACTCTTGTGTATTGTTTGTCAGTGAAAAGAATCTCTGTGTTGTTCTTTCTAATCACTTCAAACCAATTTACTTCTCAGTGACTTTAATGAGGATGGTGCTTGTTTGCAAATAAAGCAGACTTTATGTTTGGATAACTACCATACTGTGAGTGGTGTCTGCAGGGTATGGTTAAAAAAAAAAAGTCAAGCTGGCAAATGCAAGAAACATAAAAAAACAGGCAGAGCTTCGATTACCTACTGCAGCTACCATCTTGATTGTTTTGATTACAACCTTCAGACACCCCTCTTTAGGGTCGATACATGTATGAATATATAGGCTGGAAAGGTCTACATGTGCACGAAGAAGATGGCAAGCATTGCTAATCCCTTTATTCAACTTCAGTTTGACTCATTGTTTACTTCTAGATATTGTTTGTCTCCTATGTATCATATTTAGGTGGGTGGCTTGTCTGCTCTTGCTTTCCTTGGCAGCAGTTCAGTGATTATTTATGTGCTTAGTTGAGAAATGTAAGCTCCAGTTGGAATGTCCAAAAACTGTTCATCATCTAAATGCTCTCCTGTCCCCTTCTTTTCTGGATCTCATATTTCATAAAATGGATGCTTGACCGATATTGATTCTTCCATTTCATAATTCTGGCAGAGATTAGAATTCTGTGGATTCATCTTGTTTTCTGCTTAAGTGTTAGCAATAGCCAAAAATACATATGGAAAAGAAACAAAAGGACTTGAAGGCATCTTGCTGTCTTCTAAACTATAAAATGAATTCAAAATGGAGGCGTAGATTGTGCAGGAAATCAAAGAGAAATAAAGGAAGATGTTGACAAGTATTGGTATCTTCTTTACAGAAAGTGTTAAATTCAGTTGATGAGAAGTGTTTGATGTCATTTTGAAAAGCTCTGGAAATTGCATGGTAATGTTTTGCTTCTATAATTATTTCATTGTTTATTATTTTGACTCATGAAAGAATATTAAATAATATTTATAAGTACCTTTATCTCAAGAGACTGATTACCAGTTTCCCTTTGGCTGCATCTACAATCAAAATGAGATACTCCACAACAATAAGGAGAACTGAGGCAGTTGCCTCAAGTTTTTCTTTTCTCTTTTTCTCTTTTCCTTTTCCCCCTTCCCCCAGTCCCTGTAGATGGGTTGGCCATTTGTTAAGCGGAGTAAAAGATATATTAAATGCTGCATCACAATACAGACATCTTAGCCTTTGACCTGATGCTGCAAAGTCTCTTAGATCAGTTGACAGTCTAGATTGAAATGAGGGCAGAGCTGAATTGGGCAGGCCGTGTTATTGCTCATAAAAATGAGCTCCAGGATTTCCTTTTGAAAGTATGTATTTAAAAAAAACAACTGTAGGGCTGTGCCATAGTCTCCTGGGTATGTCTTAGGTTAGTCCTTTATGTGTGCCTTCTATATAAATCCTCTATATCACGACCTCTTTTGTAAAGAGGTTGCGTTACAGGGCTGGGTGAAAGGTTCCTTGTGATGAATATGTCAGAACGTGGGGATAATGGAAATGTCAGACCAATAAGAGGTAGAACCTGCATGCAACATACATTTAACCTGTGAGGAGATGTGACTGAATCCTGCAGCTTCCACCAGATGAATAATCTAAAATGAATTCTATCTGGAAAGAAATCCATTAAAGATGCTGAGGGTTCTACATCATATACATGGTAGTATGTATAATTTAATTCAGAGGTGCTAAGATTTAAGTTGAAAAGTATAGGATTGCATATTAAGAGCAATCCATATAGCAAGAATGGAGAGAATTGCTTTCAGCAAGGACAGGCATTCAAATCTTCTCACTTAAGAAATTATTTGTGGTTTATCTTGTAATAAGTTTGAACAGCTAATTACACTTCCATTGTGCTGGTATCTAATTGTTATTGAAATGTTTTATGGTAAATTAACTCCAGTTGCAGATTTTAAAAAAGATACAGCCATTTGCATGTGACAGTCTGTCTTTTTGCTAGCAAAACATTAAGACCTAATAATTCTCTCAATATATCTCTCAAAACAAATTATCTAACAGTTAAAAGAGATTCTCATGGAAGGTCAATATCTTTTCAGCAAAACTATTTAAAAGACAAATGGATATGAGTTCTTTTTATTTTTCAATATTTTTTGTCTTCAAAATATTGTTAGTTTTGCATACTAAGGAAGTTCTTGGTTTTTTAAACAAACAAACAAACAAACAAACAAACAAACAAACAAACATGAATTGTGGTGGTGCAATGGTTAGAATGCAGTATTGCAGGCTACTTCTGCTGACTGCTGGCTGCCTACAGTTTGGCAGTTCGATTCTCACCAGCTCAAGGTTGACTCAGCCTTCCATCCTTCCAAGGTCGATAAAATGAGGACCCAGACTGTTGGGGGCAATATGCTGACTCTGTAAACTGCTTAGAGAGGGCTGTAAAGCACTGTGAAGCGGTATATAAGTCTAACTGCTATTGCTATCTGTCAGAATTCATTAAGAGAGTATGGAATTCTGTTAGGTTCCAGTCTGAATATACTGGATAATCATGTCGATTTCATTGTGCAAACTGCTTGTGACAAGTTCTGTACAGAAAACCAATCTTCGAAGTTTAACATGTGGTTATGTTCTGGTATCAGTTTCCATGTTTACAAAAGCAATTGGCTGTTTAACTCATTTTCAGCGCTTTCCCTGTGTTCAATAAAATATATTCAGATACTATCTCGGTTTTCTGCAGGCGATCTGGGAAGCCTCCTTCTTTTCAGTGGAATCATGCTGTTACTTTAAGAAAATGACATATACATTGGACCTATTAAAAAAAGGTCAACAGCTTTCCAATGGTGTATGGGTAATTGTAAGAACTGGAGATGAGAAAGATTATCTACACGTACAGACTTTTAGATTATATGTGACACCTCCATCAGAACTATTTAACCTTTGGTTCCACTGTGCTCTGCTAGTTTGTGGCTCTTCTAACACACCATTAGATCTGTGAGTCACTGGAAAACATGAGTTACTCAGAAAAATTCAGATGAGTTCAGAAAAGAAAAAAATGTTTGATCTCATGAAGTCATGGATTCTTTTAGTCCTGCTGGATGATTTGATGGGTTTAAGTTATGATCTTAACTTTAGATATGGGACTTTGAAAACTGAATCATGTAAAGTCATGGAATACTTTGTTGGCTAACAGTTTCAATGTTTATATCTAGTACTAAATACGAGTTGCATAAGTAACAATAAGAATAAAGAGCCACCTTTGGAATGACACAGAAGAAAATGGATGATAACAGTAGACCATAATTTCATCATTCATTGATGGGCAAAGCAAGGCAAGGTAAATCTGTACTGGAGCATGACAGTGACAATGATGGTCCAAGCTAGAACTTCTTTTTATAACAAAAAGCACAGCACAGTCTTCATTGTCTTTCCAATATGGGCAAGAAGCATAGCACTGGTGATTCTTTGGGCCTGAAGAAGACACGCTGTTGTGCAGTTCATCTGTGAAGATGAATGTGGCTCTGCAGTCCCAGTCTGGAAACACAGATTCTAGCACAATGGGGCATTGGAAGTTCATTGTGTGTATTATTCGGTGATGCCACTCATGATTTTTCATCAGTTGTTGTTGGTACCTATCTTCAAAACTGGTGTAGGCTTCATAACACAGGATTTGGCAGTGGGTTAAGTCAGCAATTTCAGCTTCTAGTTCCCTTGCCTGGATGTCACAGTGATGTAGGGTTTGCTTCACATTGTCCTTGTAGTGCTGGTATGGGTGACCTCAAGTTCTCTTTTAGGTCTCCAGTTCACCATAGAGCAACTGGCAAGGCCTAGGATGGTTGTCCATTCTGATGATGAATTTCACAAATGTAGGACAGTATGAAGAACATAGGCTATTTTTCCCTCTCCACCATGGATACAGCAGTTAACCAAGCACAGTTTTTAGAGTATAAATTCAACTGGGTGTAGTGAAAATTACTGGTGGGGAAATCTAGTACGG